TGTTAATCCTATGCCCAGGGTACAGCATCGTGATGTGTGAGGTCGTGGTGTAAGTAAAACCCCCTCAAGAGAGGGTGCCATTACGACCTTCCCCCACCTAATAAGGGGACTCAGTACGAACGCCCCCACCCCTTCCCCAAACAGCGATCGAAGTTTCCAGTTTCCAAGTTTTTCACCCAAAAATTTGAAAAACAAAAACATGGCCACATCATTGGTTGGGGCTAGCTACGAGATCTGTACGCACCCCCCCCCCGCCCCCCCCATCGGTCGGCTGTTCCTGCACAACGAATCAAGCCGTAGAACGGGGGTTAAGTGACGCCGCAGCCGGCGCGCCATATATACGCATAAAGCCAAGAAAATGCACCAAAAGTCAAAACACCACTCCTAACACGCCAAAACGTAACCTCGTCATCCGGGCAGTTGATTAGGGCGGTCGTCAACGGGCCGCAGCGCGTGCCAGGAACTATTTGCTTTTCCAGGCTAATTTAGTCATTTTTCCACCTTGTGAAGATAAGGAGCTGCTAATCTGGGAAAAAGTAGCCAAAACAGTGAAAAGTTGGAAAAAATGACTAAATTAGTCTGGAAAAAGCAAATAGTTCCTGGCACGCGCTGCGGCCCGTTGACGACCGCCCTAATCAACTGCCCGGATGACGAGGGTAAATACGAGCCCTCATTTGCCAACAATTTACAAGTACGTCCCCCCCATACAACTAAAGCGAGAAAAATCAAGTATCAAAATAAATTCTCCCCAACCCAGATACGACCCCCTCTCCCTATTGGAGATTCCCCAACAACGATGTGCCCCTGGGTTTAGTGCCATGAAACAGAAAAAATCTGCGCAAAAATGCCAAGAACGAATAGCAACGCCACAAATTTTTCTCTTCAGGCACATACTACCCCCCCCCCCACCGTCTTCCCCTACGACCAAAAACGACCACCTCCCCCGCAGCGCAAAAGTAACGACCTTTCCCTATGTGATTTCAACAGAACGATGCTAACCCTGCCTACGCTCTTGAGGATTTATTTGCACCAGCTTACTACTTGAACCAGCAAACGATCAATGCGATCCGCGGAACTGCCTCGGCCCAGCTCGCGCGCGTGCATTTTGTCCTTTTCAGTCTACAAAACAACTACTCACACGATGAATAACGTGCATTTGTTCTGTCGCCTGCAGCATCGTAGGACGTTTCATGGGCTTGCAAAGAGTCTAAGACTGCACTCTTGCGAACTCGCGAGTGGTTCTGCTTTCCTTGGAACTTTCAGAAACCAATAAGTCAGTAGCGTCCACTTCGCAAGGTAACATGCGTATGGGCTCTGCTTGAATTCAGCGGTGATGCAAACGCGTTGCTGCAGAAGCTCGTCGATACCGTAGTCCTTTTTTCATGCACAGAGTTTTCTATACCTAATATCTGTTCCATTGTCTATTTTTTTCTTGGACTTAGTTGGCACTTAGTTCTGAGGATTCGAAAAACGGTCTATCCTTGCACAATGATTCTGTTCACTGTTAGGGGAGGGTTCTGTTATTCCTTCTGCTCCCATCTCCAGTGGGAAATCACGGTTCGGCTACTGATTCATCACTAAACACCCACAACCCGTAATGAGCGGAAATTGCCTTTAGCGAGAGCGCTGAGGCCGTATTCGCTGCACAGACACCACCCACAAGCAGTAGATGCACCGAGGCATGAACGCTATTGGCTGAGGCACTGGTGTTCATCTTCTTTCTCGCCCTTGTTTCCCCTCATCCTTCACCTCTGATGTTTTGTCCGCAACAACAGTGTGACATCTATCGCTCCCTTTTGTGCTAGTCCAATGCTGGAAATCCTCTCCTCCTCGGAAGAAAACCTCACCTTTTTCCTCATAAGCCATTAACGCTTGGAAACTCCTATTTGTAGCCCTCTACCCGTGGCTTCGTATGACAGAATGGGGAAACCTTCGACGGACGGGAGGGGGGGGGCATTTTGCACTTTCGCTGCTTCGCTAGTTCCGTGAAACCTGTGTGTAAAGCTCGTCGAGCCACAATGGCAAAACCTGTCAACTCTTGTAAGCTCATGAAATAGCCTCTAGATAGCTCGGCACAGCGTGGGGAAGTAGCAAAAGCCCGAAATGCCTCCCCCATAATCGGAACTGCACCCAGGATAAATACGCACATAGGCTACTGTTGGGCGATGGCTCGGTAAGTCGTTCCAGGCTGACATAATAATTGAGACCAAATGCCTTCAACAGCCTCAGCCGCCATGATGCCGCTACATTGTGAGCCCAGACGAAAATACAACACTCATACAACAAATAGCTACGCCAAGTTTGTGTGACTAAGAGCCGCTTCCATCTTTTTCTTTTCGCTTTCTTGGTCCAACTTTTGTCGGCGGTACGCCTTCTTTTGCACAATGCTTTCCAATGGTCCCCGTAAATAATAGAATCGGATGCGGACAGTCCAGCATCAGTCATGCCCATATTCAGATGTCTTTCCACCGCATTCTAGGTTGGCCTTTTGGATTTACCGGCAAAGATGACGATCTTATCAGCAGACTTCGATACAGCATCAGGAGGTCTTCGTTGAACGTGACCATAAAAGCGGAGACGAGATGCGGCAAGGGAGTTGGCAATCGGGAGTGGACACCATTCATGTCACGGACTGTTCTTCATTGCGCCGATTCGGCGTCGAGTCGCGTTTGTTCCCAGACTGCCATTTTCGTAACAATTCACATCCCTATAATACCGTAGGCTTCCTCTGTTTCCGTCGGCTGTCATCTGCTTTATCGGTATAACATAGATGGAACGACTCGCTTTCTGTGGACAGAGCTGCTATGAGGCCAAATTTGGCGTCGCTTGTTGATTTCGGGCGAGATATCGTGACATCGTGACATCTCGCCCTAAAATTATAGAGTGGTGCTGGTTTTTGAGCCTCTTCATTAGCTTTCATCAAATTAGTTCGATAACTGCTGTTTAGCGCCGCAGTGCGCACTCCGAAAGTTACCACATAACACAACCTTCCGGTGGGCGGGTTCGAGTCTCGCCTGCGGTCCGGCTTCTGCCCGTAACTCTGCAATCATGTGATAAATTGGATCATCTTCTTTCGGGTTCAGCTACTCCAAAATGTTGCTGCCCTCGTCTTAGTGAATTCGTCGATTATTCCTACCAGCCCCAGAGTGTTCTCCTTGTGGCAGACACGGCAATGCTTACGAAAAACGAGCCATTACCAGTAGGCGGTAAAACCTTGGCGTCAGCGTGGCATTCAGGTTGGCTATTAAGCCAATTTTGTGCAAAGCGCCTTTATTCGAAAGAAGAAAACGTTTAGCAAAGAAGTGTTCAATCGAAATTTCCGTTGAATGGCGGCTAAAAGGTTCGCTTCTGGCTACACAGAAGGGCCACTGCATCGATTAGATTTAGGAATAGCTAGCGATGCTTACCGCATTTCAGCGATGTATGGCCCAATAGTCGAGGAGCGAGAAATTCCAGAAATAGGCCTTAAGGGAGTGCAGATTAAATATACCCATAAGGCAAAACATCTGTGGGCTTTCATCAAAGGCACAGTCTGAGAGCATCGTATGGGCAGACTCAGGCCTACCGTTGCATTTTGATCAGTAGTACGCTCTGAGAAAAAACGAACTAGCATAAGAGAGCAATGTTGGAATAAAAGAAATAGTGCCACCTTCTCCCTTCTTTCCTGAACTAAGTGTACTCCTAGAGCGCTGCCGCCATATCTAGGTCCACGGATACTTCATTTCAACAACAAGAAACGCGATAACAGTGTAATTTTGCTGGACAGCCCCCTACTAACAGCCACGATCCCCACAAGCGATAGGTTGTGCTAAAGGTGCTAAAGTCGCCTTTTTCACCAGTTGGCACCCAAAGTCTCAACAGTTTGATCGTAACGGTTGTTCTGTTGGTCTCCAACCCACACCTCCACACGACCTATCGTTTGCAAAGGTCTAAACTACACCTGCGGCTCAAAATGCTAATGAGCTCCCGATTGACCTCGTGGACTACACTTTCAAATGCAAGGGTGGTTTCACATTTCCTCTTTCTTGTCTCGCCTTCTCTTCCCCCTCTTCTCCGCGTTTCACTAGACCCGTTCTTTTTAACGACCTTCTTCCTTCCTATCGTTTCTATGGGTTTCAAGTTTTAATTGTACATATGTACAGCTGAATAGAATTACTTTATTCACCGAAGCGAAATATAACAACACGTTGGTACCAGAGCAACTAAAAATAAGACTCCAGGCAGAGACAATAAGCGATTAAATAATGAGGGAAATTCTAACACAATCTTGCAATGTACGGACATCTCCACAAAGCAACACTGACTGCAGTGTTTCTGCTTTTGCCGTTTTTTCCAAACGGCCTTTTGTTAAACCAGATCGTGCCAGTTTAAAAGTTTAAAAACTCTGGTGCACGCCCGCTCTCCATATTGTTCGGAAGGGACGACAATCGATGAGGTTGGCACAAGGTTTGGTCCGATTCCGCCCACACGGCGAGCATGGAGTTTCGAACATTATGCTGTGAAGATGAACTTTTATGTGGCATTCAAAAAATGACTACACTGATACGGGGGTTAAGAGGTGTAAACTGAGCTGACGACTCTGCAGGACAAGGATAGGATGCTGATGGAAACAAGTGGATAGGACATAATATGGCCTGGCTCTGTGATATTTGGGAGGAGAAAGGAGTGAAATAAGAAATCGGCCAGAAAGCGATGAAATCAAAAATCTTTGAGTAACCAGTCAAAAAATAAATGGAGAAGGCTCTTCGTACAGAATCGTCAATCGAAATGGCTATATACTTCAGACAGTTACCCGTTGCTGGACTAGAATCTGATATTCAGTGGTAGTTCGGGAGGGATATTCTTTAGCTGTACCTTTGAATATAAGAATCTTTACATTGAACGAGCAATAAACTTAACTTTAGAAACAAAAGCATTGCAGTAAACAATGACAGCGCTGTGCGCCTTGCAAACAATCAGTAAGGACCCAGAAGGAGGTAGTACTGCACAGAGGAATGACCTTACAAGAGCACAGGTGTTGGGGAACCGAAAAAGTTCAAAATATCCCCTCGAATAGCTGGATTACAGAAGAAGTATATGAGAAGACGTATTGCCGACGTAAACATGTAGACGAATGAGACCATGTCAGAGAAGAACGTGTGGAACGTTGACGCTTGTAGTGGATCTTCCGTGTCGTGAAGTATCGGATGGTCAGATCTTAAGGGAACCATTAAGTCGAGTAACGTGTATGTTCTTGATATGTGCTTTTGAGTAATTTTAAATACTAGTGATTTATGCCACATATTTGCAACAACGAGAGCACGCCGCCTTGGAACGGCTTCACAGCCAGGGTACAGCATCGCTATGTGAAGCACATAGGGAGGTCGTAGTTTTCCTCTAGGGAGGGAGGGGGGGGTGGAGTCGGCCGTATGTGGCTTTGAGAAAAAGTTGCTGAGCTGGGAAACAGTTTTTCCGGGTTGCAGACTTTTCGTGATTTTTCCTTTTTGATTTTCTTATTCATGTGTACTATACACGCCCTCCCCCGCTCGACAGCAAATTCAACCGCTGCGACATGCGAATATTTTTGGAGAGAAGTGAGAAAATTTTGGAAAATTCCGGAAAAAGTGGAAGGAAGCTGGGGATAATCCCCTCTTCGCTGACAGGAATTTTCAGGTGAAAAACTGGAACAAAGTGGGAATGTTGGGAACTGGCAGCGTAGCTGTACGGGGAAAGGGGGGGGAATGTATCGAGACTCCCTCTAGGGCATAGGTGGAAGGGGGTGGTACTGACAACTGAACGCCCTCAAGGTGGGGCGAGTACCGTACTGCTGGCCCAACACTTCACATAGTGCGATGCCTAAACTGGCATCGATTGCGGTCTTCCGTAACATTTCATCCTAGCTTGCAGTTAGTGGGCCAGCACATCATGAAAAGCGGATGAAGGGGGAGTATATTTCCTGCAACACTGAGTCTTACCGCCGTTTCCACCTTTCTAGGAAAAGCGCGTCAGAATGTTGGAGAAATTTTCGGCACCCATTAAGAATTGGTTCTTAGAGTATAGACAATCATGATACCGCTGCAAAACGATAGGAGCTCGACGGAAGTACGTCAGGAGTCGCAGGCACGAAACACTCTCTCACCGCAACGTATTTGAGCGGACGCCAGGATGGATCACTGATGGCAAGCCGCAACTTGGGCAGCGCCCCTAGTCCATGGCCATCTCGTCAACGAAGACGCTAGCCCTATCCATCATGACTGTAGTATGTCTTCATAAAAGCGAATATATTATCTGCTCTGCTTGAGACCGCCTCGTACACGCACCCGCGCCAATGCAACCAGAATCAGCGGGCTCACTGAAAACTTATCTCAGAGCTAAATTTACCCCACTCTCCCGAAGTTGAATACACATCCGCTTCGTATTAAAACGGCTAGTACGTGAGCTACAACAGCATAGTTTCAACAGGCTCCGAACTGTTCAACTCAAATTGATGAGAAAGGCGCACAGCTGAGCCCGATTCCGCCCAAGTTGTAAAATGTAAACTGTACGTTCCAACAGAACTAACTTTCAAAAAACGCGTGCGTACAGTTGTCTAACAGCCTGCTACAATACGGCGCGCAGTAGACGACAACACATCTACAACTGCCTTTTGCTTCCTGAGAAGATCAGCAAAAGTGGATGTAATGAAGCTATCAATCTACCCACCCCCCCCCCACTATAGACCCATCTTGGGCACGGTATCGGTCGCTCGAATCACTGTACCGCATCATTTGTAGCGCAAACTTTGAACAGTGCCTTAGTGTCACTTCTGATTCTAATTTTGAATAAAAAAGATTCAGCTGACCTTTCCATCACGGTTAGAATCAAGTGTAGTGTGTTCGATATTAGATAGCTAGCAACGATCGCCACCATTGTCATAATGGCACTTCTCACCGATGCCGACACACTTTTCACGGGTCGAATCGATAACGATATCACTGAAAACAGTCCAATTTTTTTGATTTTTTTATAGATTTCTATTGGATTACACAAGCGGCACAACAAAGCTCAACATAAGATCGTCGGCTAAATAGCTAAGTGCTTCCTCAAAATCACTTTTTACCTCTGAGTGAAATCGCCTTAATTTGGAACCCATGTGTAGTCCATACCGTAAGCACGGAGTGGGCGTGAATTTGCATATCTCATATCTATCTCATAATTGGCACTTATCTCAAATATCCCATGAATAGGGTAATTGCCCTCGCGCTCAAATGGAGTCTGCAGCCACGCCCACTTCATCCTTGAAATATGGAGTGGTCGTACTAACTGACAAGTTTCCCGAGTCAGGGAGCCCACTTTGCGGCGGTACGGTAAAAGCGGACTCGCGAGTGATGTCAAGTGCGGCACAAGCATCATCGGTACAGCGAGGATGAGTATCGCGTGGACATTGTGCGCTTTGCAAGGCTGAACGGCACACAAGTTGCCAGCAGTTAGACAGCGCGCTGTTCTGAATTGCGACCGGCGATAACGCCGCTATCCTACAGCTGATTGGTACAGCGCAGTCCATACTTGTCCAACCCTTAACTTCATGTCCATCCCTAGCAATTATCTTGTTAGCTCTGGGCTCTAATGTTCTCCGGCGGGGAACAGGGTATTAGGGTTGGCGGAGTTTATATTTCCAGTAGGATGAAATAGGGACACCAGGACGCAATTCACACACCCACTGGGCAATGCGAACCTGTATTCCCATGTCAGCCTGTACTGCGATGCTCGACTGATAGGTAGCGATCCACATCTATGAACGACAGCAGGAACTGAGAGAGTCTTACTGTTCATAGTCGTGATCCTTGTAAACGATGGGACTGTGGAAGGGCGTGACTCGGCTCATTCCAACTAAATGCAGCGCACTCAGGATGGCACCATTGGTAATCTCGTACGTGTTGAAATCCACGCCTTGTCATACCTCTATCGAATCATGACGGTACTTCCATCTGAAGTCATCAAGGTTCATTTTCTACCTCTCTTTCCTTTTCAAAGGAATACGCCGTCGACATATGCCCCTCCTCGACCAGATTGTGGCTTCTTCATTCCACGGCGACTCAGGATAACTGTACCGGGATGCAGAGGTCGACAACTACTTCTTGTGCGTCCAAAAATCGCAGCACTGTGTGCATCTTGTGCGCTGGAGGCAGCATCGGCGATCAGCACATTTCCATACTATTGTGTACTAGCTAGCTAAAGGAAAGTGGCACGATAAATCCCCAAGACGTGTGCGATTAATACGCCTAGCAGGACAGAGTTTGGTGCCCTGAGCAGGCGCTGCGTGGCGCCTTTTCCAAGGAAGGTACCCTTATAGCGCCCTATCAAGCTGCAACATACCGACCCGGACGCCCACCGCGCCCGCCCCCACAAATGTCCGACCGATGCTGATGCTCGTATCGCTTCATTTGCGAAGTATGAAGCGAAGGGATTGATATGAAGCGGCTGCGGTGCTGCATGGATGATATATGAGTACATACATGCAGTCGTATCTACCGTAGGGGCAGCCCGATGCCAAAGGGAAACTGGTCTGAAATTGCTTTCTGAGCCGCGTAGAGGAAAGGACTTCTCGCAGGTTCATACCGTTTCACCCAGCTGTTTCGCCATTTCCACTATATAGCACCCTCGCTACCATATCCGATCGAGTACCTATTTATCGTGCACAAAAGAGAGCGTCGCGGCCAAAATCTTTTTCCAAGCGCAGCTTTGAGCATTACGAAACAATCCGTTACTGGATTATTGAGAAGCGTTATAAATGATTCTGAGAAGAACAAATCATATTAAGTTGGCGTTTAGCTGACAAATTAGCCACGTGTTAGCCAAAAAAAAACATTCAATTGCTTCTACGAAAATAAATCATCAACAAAAACATGGCGCACTCGTAGAACTCAATAGCTAATAGTGTTATACGTTTTCATGTGTTAATTGGAAAGCATTGAGAACGCAAAGCTGATTACAAAAGCTACATCACGTCTAAAACGAAACAGCTAACAAGATTTACCTTTGGCGATAACGGATCCGCCTATCCCTGTAAATCTGTCGTTAAGAGCTTGATTTTCTGGGAGACGGGCAAGAGAATCGTAATTTGTCGCTCCGCCGCGTGTGGCGATGGGCGCGGCGTTTTCTTAACTCGTTAACCTGTCGGTTAGAGCACCGCCACTTCATGGAGGACTCCTCATCCTAGACTACATGATATTACTCGGTTTTTAAATGCCCGTTGTCGCGCATCCACTACTGGGGTGCCATCAATCATTGCCGGAGCGCGACGTCGCAGTGCGAGCCCGTCAGCGCGGGCAAATCACAATTTCTCTTGTGTCACACAGCCTGCATTTGAGCTCGAAGAGGACAGTTTTAGTGCACATTCGCATTGAATAGCTTTAGGTGAACCACCTGGGGGAGAGACGCTGTTCACATCGATTTGACCCTACTTTCAAAATGAAGAGTGAACCAGTGAGGAAAGGACTGTGCCTATGCAATCAACGCGGAATGTATCTTTAGATTCTGTAGTTGCTAAGCAGTAAGTAAAGTCTCTTCTTGTAAGAGGAAAAGACGTCAGTGAATAATGGATTGCACGATACCTGCGTTCAGCGATCCCACGTCAGTGTTCGAATTACACATGAGCTCCGTTTTATTCTGAGTGGTCTTGGTGAGCTTCCTAATAATCACCTGAAATAAAGGACGTATTATTGATGAGACACGCGATCCATTCTAAAGCATTTTCAAAATGGATCGCGTGTCTTACCATTTTGATTTTTGTGCTCAGGCTTTCTTCTGCCACAAATGCTCCTCCTGTGCTATCCTCAAAGAGCAGCGATTGTGTAATACCAAGGCCCCGCAGCGAAACGCGCACTCAGTCATAGTGCAACCAGGAGTGAGAGAGCGCAGATAAGTAGCGCATTTGGCCACGGTTACGCGTGTGACTAGCCGTGAAGAAGGTCGCGGCGAAGTATGAAGAGAGCATCCGTATATCACTGCCCTCCAGCCCCATTCCTCTGCTTTTTTTGACCGGAGAAAGTTGGACGCTACTGCAACTGCGGACTCGTTCACCGCACACTATGAACGACCAGAATCGTCGGGGGTGAGCGTGCAGTCTGTCATTATCTGATAATCAGAGTTAAGACGGGAAATCATATCTGAACCAACATCAAGAGAGTTACAAGAG